AAGGCCCCCTTTACAGAAGATGATAGTGTCCTAGATTTCTGGCACTGGATAAATAAAGGGGATGCATTTCAACAAAGCACCGTCCCTCAGAGAGCACAGCTCTCCTCTCTCCGACCACTGGCTTTCTTCGTTCTCCTGATCTTACTTCTGGATCAACATACGACTAATTTCAAGAACGATAACAGCCACTCCAGGGTCCCTGGGTGGCGCAAACAGTTCTCGCTAGACTTTTATTGTTGTTAGGTGTCTTCGAGTTGAGTTCGACTCATAGCAACCCCATGTGACAGAGTAGAACTGCCTCATAGGGTTTTCTAAACTGTAATCTTTATGGGCGCAGATTAGCGGGGTCATTCTCCCTCGGAGCCCCTGGTGGGTTCAAACCGCCAACCTTTCAGTTGCACAACCTGGGCTCCTACCAACAAAGACTGATGGTTCAAACCCACCCAGCGATGCCATAGAATACAAGCCTAGCAATCTGCTTTCATAATGATTAGAGCCAAGAAAACCCTATGTAGCTCAGTTCTACTCTGCAGCACGTAGGGTGGCTATGAATTGGAATCAACTCGATGGCAGTGGGTTTGGTTTGGGTTTGGATTTGACTTAAGTCAGAACCAACTTACGACAGAGTGGTCGGAACAGAACCCCATCCTAAGTGAGGCACTACCTGTACAATTTTTTTTAATAAGCTTTTTATTTTGGAATAATTTTAAATTTACGGAAACGTTGCGAAGACAGTAGTTTCTGTTTCCTCTGTTGGCATTTTGCATTACCGTGATACATCTGTCACAACTGGGAAACCAACGTCGGGACATTATTAGTAACTACATTCCAGACTTCATTTGGATTTCACTCATTTTCCCACGTATGTCCCTTTTCTGACACATTGCATTTAGGACTAAGTCATTTTTAGTCCTTCCAGCTCTAAAAAACAGAAAGGCGGTAACCCTTCATGGCTAACGGCTCTGGTAAATGAATGCTGTGCTGTGTGACTTTGGGCAAATTGCCTATCCTCTCTGAGCCTCAGATTCTTCATCTATAAAAGGGATGATAATGGTACTTACTGCCTTTTAAGGAATTTGCTGATTCATATGAAGTACTTAGCACGACTCTTATATCACAAACACTCACTTGATAATTCTCAGGTGGTAGAATTCATAGACTAAAACCAGGACCGACCCAGGTACCACCTTTGCTAAAGTACCTTTGCTAAATATCTCCCGGCAAACTGGCTGATCCAGAAAGAAAGACACCGTGTTGCTGGTCTGGCACCCCAGCCCCAATATGGGAGCACAAAATAGAAAAGGATGAAGATCTGAGGTCAGGCAGGCCCAGGATGAAGTCCCACCAGCCCACTCACTAGCTGTGTGACCTTGGGCAAACTCTTCAGACTCTGGGTCTCAGCATCTTCATCTGTAAAATGGGAACAAATCACCCACCTTACAGGGCTGCTGAGAAGATAAAATGAGATACTTGTTACTACTCATTGCTGTTGAGTCGATTCCGACTCACAGCGACCCTATAGGACAGCATAGAACTGCCCCATAGGGTTTCCCAGGAACAGCTGGTGGATTTAAACTGCTGACCTTTTGGTTAGCAGCCGAGTGCTTAACCACTCTGCCACCAGGGCTCCAGATAAAATGAGATACGCCCTGTAAAATGTCTAGCAGGATTGAGGTATAATATTTGGCTGCATCTTTCTATTCTCCTACCTCTTCTAGGAACCAGCAACGTTTAATCGGGAGCACTCTAGGACCAGCTGAAATATAATGGTGGGCAGTACCCAGGGCTTGGTAATGGGCTCCTGCTCTTCTATTGCTTTTTGGAGGTCGGTAGCATAGGTCACTAAACACTTGCTCTCCTTTTCCCAGCCAAAACCAGGTTAAAGAGCCAATTCCATAATCCCCATCACTACAATAAGAAACCCTGGTGGCGCAAGGGTTAAGTGCTCAGCTGCTAACTGAAAGGTCAGTGGTTCAAACCCACCCAGCAGCTCTACAGGAGAAAGACCTGACAATCTGCTCCAGTAAAGATTACAGCCTAGAAAACCCTACAGGGCAGTTCTATTCTGCACACATGGGGTCGCTATGCATTTAAAATGGACTTGATGGCTGCTAACCAAAAGGCTGGCAGTTCAAATCCACCAGCCGCTCCTTGGAAACCCTATGGGGCAGTTCTACTCTGTCCTTTAGGATCATTATGGGTCGGAATCGACTCATGGCAACAGGTTTGGTTTTTTTTCACACCCAAAAACAGTAACATGGCTACAATGCTGCTCTTCATCCAGAATGAAATTAGCAAGAAACCCACGCATGCTGCCTGTTGTTAGGTGCCATCGAGTCAGTTCCGACTCAGTGACCCTATGTCCAACAGAACAAACACTGCCCGGTCCTGCACCATCCGCACAATTGTTGTTATGCTTGAGCCCATTGTTGCAGCAACTGTGTCAGTCCGTCTTGTTGAGGGTCTTCCTCTTTTATGTGGACCCTCCCTCTACTTTACCAAGCATGATGTCCTTTTCCAGGGGCTGGTCCCTCCTGATAACATGTCCAAAGTATGTGAGACATAATCTCACCATCTTTGCTTCAAAGGAGCATTCTGGTTGTACTTCTTCCAAGACAGATTTGTTCATTCTTTTGGCAGGCCATGGTATATTCAGTATTCTTTGCCAACACCACAATTCAAAGGCGTCAATTCTTCTTCGATCTTCCTTATCCATCATCCAGCTCACGCTGCCTAGGCCTGGTTTTAAAGGGAAGACAGAGCTATTCCCACAGTCCATCTGACAAAGAGCACATAGGACTTTGTTGTCACGAATGGGAACTGAAGGGACCAGAGAAATCACACTGTATCACTCCTGTTTAAAGAGGAGGAGTCTGAGACCCAGAGTGGTGGATCGGCTAGTTCAGGGTCACATGGTAGGAAAGCTCCAGAGCCAGGACGAGGTCCTGGTTATATGATTTCTAGTTCGTGCTCTTGCTCTCTGACTTAGAGGCTCATTAGGCTCTGGACTGCTAGAAGACATCCATCCATCTATCTATCCATCCATCCATCTATCCATCCATCCATCTATCCAGCCAGCCAGCCAGCCAGCCATCTGTTCAGCCAGCCAGCCAGCCCCCCAGCTAGCCAGCCATCTAGTGTTGGCATTGGGCACTTTCCCGTGGCAGGCACTGTGCTGAGCACTAGGGAGCAGGAGGGAAAAAGATTGTCACAGTCCCTGCCCTCTATAGCTTCCCATCCAGAGGACAGTCTTGGTTGTCAATGTTTTCCAAAGGTCTGCCACAGTACCTGGCTCATGGTAGAAGCACTGTAGATGTTTGATGAATGAATAATGGATCTCTCATCTTCAGCAACATTCCCACCTTTATGACTAACATACTGGGTGGTTTTGAAGACATTAATGGAGCTAAAGACTCTATTTGTCCTAAACCATCCTTTCCACTTGTCATTCTCACCAGAAGACTTTGTGTAGCGTGTGTATACACAGCAACAACATTGGGTGTGGAGTCATGGCCCAGCTCTGAGCTGCTTATGCCTGATTGACTACTGAGATACACCTGAGCCTCGGTTTTCTCATCTGTAAAATGGGGCAAATAATATTTGACTTGCCCATTTCACTCGACCTCTGGAAATATAAAAGGACAGAGAGAGCAAGCAAGTGAGTGAACAAGAGAGAGAAGGACAGGGAAGGGAGAGAGACAATGAGTGAAAGTTCTAGAAAATACGATATGAATAAAGAGGTTGTTGAGATGATGCTTGATTAGCTGCAAGGACAACTATGTTGAGGACACATAGGAAAATAAAAGTGAAGTGGTGATTAGCTTTCTAGCTCAGCACACCCTTATTCCTATCTTTCATGATGCAACTGGTTGCTATTGCCCCAGATTTGTTCCAACCTTACAAGAGATTTAATTTATGGATTTGTGGCATCACGTGTGATCTCAACCAATCCTGACCCATATTTCTCTCTTCTTGGTGCATGTAACAACTACAAAGGAGTGTTGTAACCTTAATTGCTTGCAAAGTGTTTTGAAATCTTTAGATTAAAAAGCTTGGCAAAGTCCAAAGTATTAGTGTTCTGTGTGCCCCAGGACTTGTGCCGAGCCTTGTCTGGGTTCATTGGGATGGGGAGACTCTGCAGTGTATGATCTGAGTCCTGGTCCAGGAACTTGGGGTTTTAAGGGCCCTATTCCTGGGATAGCCCTAGACCAACTCCCAGCTTCCTAGTGCCTAAGCTACTTGCGGCATTTGGCCACTTCCCATGTTGCTTCTGATGTACTCTTTCCATTTCTTTAGTTCCTGGGTCACGAGGCGGCCTGAGTTGCGTTTAATTCAGTGTCATAGGTCTGTTTTCCTGGACGATCTCAGCCCAAGTCCTGGAAAAGGGCAATTGTATCATCTGTGACTTCTGTACGCCTCTTTATGTAAGCCCAGAGCTGATGAATTAGTCCTAATTCTAATTTTGTACCCACAATTACAGTTGAAATTCTGTCCCACGGTGGTTACCCTCACAAGGGGCAGCAGGTAGGGACTGAAAGGGGCATGGGGAGGACTGGGGTGCTGGCAATGCTTCGTTTTCTGGATCTATTCATTGTGTTTGGTTTGTGAAAATTCACTGAGCTGTACTGTTACACTGGAGCCCTGGGGGCGCAGTGGTTAAGAGGTAGGCTGCTAACCAAAAGGTTGGCAGTTTGAATCCACCAGCAGCTCCTTGTAAACCCTATGGGACGGTTCGACTCTGTCCTATAGGGTCACTGTGAGTCGGAGTCGACTCAATGGCAACAGGTTTGGTTGGGGTTTCTTTAATACTCTTACAAAGGTCCCTGGGTAGCACAAGTAGTTTGTACTCGGCTACTAACCGAAAGGTTGGTGGTTTGAACCCGCCTAGTGGGGCCATGGAAGAAAGGCCTCTTGATTACAGCCAAGAAAACCCTATAGACCTCAGTTCTACTCTGTAACACATGGGGGTCGCCATGAATCAGAACCAACTCAATGGCGATGTGTTTAGACACTTACACGTGCATCTCTCTGCATATGGGTGACACTTAAAAATCCAGCCCACGTGCTAATTTCATTTAGAACAAAATTTGATGTAATAGTAGAGCTATCAAAATGTGCTGCCATCGCAACGATTCCAACTCATAGTGACCCTCTAGGACAGAGTAGAACTGTCCCATAGGGTTTCCAAGGGGTGGATTGGAACTGCCGACCTCTTGGTTAGCAGCCATAGCTCTCAACCACTGTGCCGCCAGGAATCCAGTGGAGCTATAAACCTAATTAGACCCAAGTCCTTTCTCTACTTTTGTGATTCAAATGAATGTACCTTTAGTTTTTCCTTCCATTTTACCCTTATACCCGTTGCCATTGAGTTGATCCCAACTTATGGCAACCCTAGAGGACGTAGTAGAACCACCCCCACAGAAATTCCAAGGAGCACCTGGTGGATTTGAACTGCCGACCTTTTGGTTAGCAGTTGTAGCTCTTAACCACTGTACCACCAGGGTTTCCTAAGGAAATGCTTTAACTAAGCCATCTGAACTAGGTCTAATGTGGAGGGAGAGACATGTTACAGGAGCAGCCTTCAGGGACATGTGAGCCTCTGAGATGGTTCGCAAAATTCCATTGGATACACGTGTGTACACTTTTGGGCATGTTCATAACTTTCATCAAACTCCCAAGGACCCCTAACCTAAAAAAAAAAAGATTAAAACCCAAAGGGATTCTTACAAGTCAAGGCGTATTTATGCATGATCCTCTTCAAACGCTCCTCATCTTTAAGTTCAACCCATGGCACCCACCAACCCGATCTCACCAAGGTGGCGTCCCCCATCATTGTGACTTTGCCCATTTGAATGACAAAAGCCAACAGGTTCAAGTATCCGTCCAAGGTGTTATATTATGATAATCATGCTTTTCTGTCTCCCCCATATACTCCGATCCCTGATCCCTAAGGCCAAAGGCCTTTGTATGCCAAGCATGAAATTGCAAAAGGACAAGGCAAATGGAACTCCAAAGAAATGGACCACACCTGTTTACGAAACCAGATTTATTAAAATTTCTCTACAGGTCGGATGACCGTCGCCATGTTCATATATATACACATGTACAGGAAGGACCTAGTGTTTGTAGCTTTCCCGGCAGAAGCCCCTGCCAGCTCAGAGTCCTTAGCCGGATCACGTATCACAGATACAACAGTCGAGCAACCACAAGAGCATTAGTGCAGCAGAGGCCTTGTCCTCCCTGTGCTCACGTCCACGATTCAGTCAAGGTCATATTGCCAATAATCATTCACATTTCACGTGGTTTTAGACACGCAGGTTATTGAGACAAACACAGACAACAAAACAAGCCTCAGAGCTAACACAACACAAAATATCGGACACAGGTATAAAAGGTAAAATTATGTACAAAGTACACAGTACATGAGGTATACACAGCATTCTCACAACACGTTAGTAGTTTGCCAAGGCGTAGCCCTTGAAGATGACTGTTTTTGTGCCATTTTGGAAAATACAGTATGTTTCGTTTACCCGTGTAACCACCTGGTTTCAGCACTGCCCAAGACATTTACTGATATTTCATCGGTACTTTTTTTCTTAATGCGAGTTGCAGTTTCTCCAGGAAGCACTATCTTTTGTAGGTGGTGAGTTCCCATCTCTGGAAGTATTCAAACAGAGGATGGCTTCCCACCTGGGAAACAAGCTGAAGGGGGTGGGGGTGGGGGAGGTGCGGCATTGGGAGGTGGCAGAGGAAAGAGGTGGGACCAGATACTTTTAAAGTCCCTTCCAACTTCGAAGGTTTGGGGCTTACTGTTTTACTCCGGAAGCGGATCACACAGATGTATTCATAAGCCACACCACATTTGAAATATTCACAGCCCATCATGCAAAACCACAGGCACGCACACAATGCCAGAGGCAGACCGTATCCGTAAAGGGTTAAAGTGTAATTCTGGAAGTTGGGTCTGAGATTCTTCCAAGACTATCCAAAATTCACCTTCTCCGCAGCACAAAGAAAGGTGTTTTACATTTGGTCTTGGGAGAGGGGTTGGGAAGTCTCCTATCTTTCTTCTCCTAGGCAAAATGCCCACCCTGAGATAGTCTTGAGGGGGAGAGAGGGGAAGGTTAAGTGCTAACATATTTGAGGGCAAACCACAAAGGTAACGCTCCCAAATGCTCAAATTATTCAAAAGCCTGCAGTCTCTCTGACTAAGCTCAGAGTTCTGAAATCGCCAAGAGTTTGGATCTTTTGTGATACTTTTCCGTTGTTAGCTGGTAAGTGCTTTCATAGCTAAGGGGGCGAGGTGGGGGTCTCAAGGTCAGGAAGAAGGCATTAGTGCGAATGAGGTCTTGGCAGGAGATGGAGGCAAGAGTCTGGGTTTGTGGTCCACGCAGACTCCTGTGCTCCTGATACAGTCTGCTCCAAACACGGAGCAGAGTCCTTGGTAAGTGTAAGTGTGAAGAAAGAATGAGTGTTAAAGCAAACAAACACACACACCCCTTCCAATCAGGGAAGCTGGGGTAGCGAAAGTCTAGCTACTAAAGAGGAGTTCGAAGGCGGCAGGTTAATTGGCCCAAATAGTTCGTCCGTCACCTGTTACAATATGGTTATTGCCCAGAATGCCACAGTGGGATTCACTTCATCGCCCTTTAGAATGTTCAAGCCGATTTCATTTGGCTACGTATTTGTAGGATGTCCATACTCTTTACCACCTACAAAAGATACAGAACCCCAAATCTGACAAAAGGGTATTTGCGAGGGTTTGTTAAGAAAGGAAACAACTTTTTCCAGGCAGCCAAATTGTCTGCTGCTCAAATCCATAAAGTCACTCGTCACAACAAACAAGAGACGCCACGTTGAACTCAGCAGCTACATTCTTAACGCAGTCACCTATCTGGTTGGCACCACGCCAGAAGATCTGTCCATCTTCAGAAATGGAAATGCCATGTGTGAGAATTATGAGGTTTCTGAGGTTTGGGGATTAGCAGAAGAAGGAACTAATGTCACTGTCCTCCTGGTGCTCTGGGACAATCTGGTCTGAAGTTCCTATTTCTGAGTCAACATATCCAGGTTCCAAGACGGACTCAAACCAGGGATGGAGTAAGATCTCAGGGGCGGCGAGTCTCTCTGAAGGCTCTCGTCTCAGGAGGCTGTGGATGAGGCACCTGGCTTTGGGGGAAATGTGGTCAGGGATGCAGAACTGTCCTCGTCGGATTTTGGAGAAAAGGGCGCTGGGGTCTGAGTCATGGAAGGGGTATCGTCCGACCAAAAGGGTGTAGAGCATCACCCCTAGGCTCCAAACATCCGCTGCCTTTCCGGAGTAGGTCCCGGTTGTGTTCAGGATCTCAGGGCTCACGTAGGCTGGGCAGCCATGTTTGTCTGACAGAGCATCATCTTCCCCTTTGATTATGTGTGTGTCTTCCAGACTCTCCAGTCTGAGCTGGGTTCTGCGAGAGAGAGAGGAATCAAGTCATTACCTCTAAACCAGCCGCTGTGAAAAAAAGGGCCTTCCCGATCACGGTCCCATAGGCACTAATAGCAAGGGCCCAGGGAATGCCATTACCCCTTCGTCCAGTAAGCAGTGCGGGAGTCGAGATTTCACAAACCAATGCAAACTGCAACAGCATTTGAAAGTACCGAGAGCAAGCCTAGGGTAGAGGGTATGGTGCAAAGCCCCAAATACTGTTCATGACACTGGAGCTTGTAAGAGATATCTAACAGGGCTTACACAGTTTGCTAAGTTCACATTCTAGAACTGGGAGCTTGTCTCGGGAATGCTGACATTGTCTGCAAAAGCTATCAGGGAAGAGAAGCATATCTTATGCCTGAACGTACAGCCACACTCTGCAACACAGAACACGGAGCCCAAAGTCATTGTCATTGCCCACAGGCTGTTAGCACTGCTGCTCACATCCACATCCACACAGAGGGAACTTTAGCACTGCTGCTCACATCCACATCCACACAGAGGGAACTTTGTCCACTTGGACCCAGGTGGGTAACTATGATAACTATAATGGGAAAGTTGCAAAGAACGTTAATTGCATTTATTGGTGTGTTTAACTGCAAAGAATGCTTAGCCTAAATGGAGAGGTGGGTGAATTTACGGGAAGCATGGCCCCCAAAACTCCTACCCGTGTACCTGCACACCTGCCCCAGGATAGCACATCAACACGAGCATATTTAATTGATCCGTAAAAGTAACAACCACTGTCTGAAGAACCTTCCATCAAAGGCTCTCTTATGAAGCTGCAGGTGCCTTCTTATTCAGATCTAGCCACCCAATTCTCCCGAAGCCCCCAGAGTTACGTGGGGAACTTCTGATATCCACTGGCAGCCTCCCTCTCCCTGTGTCTCCAAAATAGCCCTGTTTCAGTAAGGCCCTCGTGAAGTTAAGCGCACCCATTTGTTGCTGGCTTCTGGGTGCTTTCTTTTTCCTTTCCTGGTCTGGGTTTTTTTTTTTTTTTTTTTTCTTTCTTGCTTTCCTGTTCCCTGGAGTGTACTATACATGTGCTAACTTCAGTCTGTCCTCAGCATGACCTCCACGTCGTTATGTAAAATACCCATTGGTTCTGTAAACGGAAAATATGACTCAACCCACACCGTCTGGCCCTGATTGGCTGCTGTAGTACTAAAACCCTGCACCTGTGCTTGTTACCCGAATAGCGTCAGCCTGACATTGCTTAACCCTCGGGTTGCCAAACTCCATGCCCATGACATTCGCCTGTGCAATGCGGATTTCAAAAGCTAGCAAGGAGGTGTGTAAGGCATGTTTCAGAAAATGCATCACCATATCAAAGGAGCGTGTGCCAGGAATTGGAAACTTCTTCATTGCAAACAGCTTGCTTTTCTTTGCTAATCAGTATGTTCCAATATTTATTGCAAGGTCAGGTACAAAGTCACGCTGTATGGCAACTAACTCTGTACTTTTTCATATGATTTGGAGTTAAAGGTAAAAAATGCACAGGTGGGGTAAGCCCTGTGTAAATAGCCAGAATAAACAAAAAACATCCACCTCTACAATTCTACAATGTTATTGCTCGTAATCTTTCCACCAGGATGTGGTCCATCTCTGAAAACTAGGCAGTCTACGTACTGTGGTTTCCTGTATTCCCTTACGAGTCTGAAACCTCAACTCTAAGTCTTAGTGTCTCATTCTTCTCTTCTCACGCTCATCTTATCCTTTTTGATGTAAGCCATGATCTATATTTAGCCATCAATCCCAGCCAATTTCCATTTATTATTTAATGTGGCTATTTTCTGAAGATGAAGTCAAACAGGATGTCTAAAAAGCCACCATACGATGTGAAGGGATTCTGCAAATACAATAGGCTAGTCTAACCAGCTCTGTGATGCCTTCTAGGTACCAAAAACAAACAAAAAACACTCCCTATAAGCACAGACTTGAAAGCTTCCTCTAGGAGTCAATATTCTGAAGGTCAGGTTGACATTTGCACCCCAGAAGAACTGGCCTTTCTGACAACAATGGGCAATGAACCTGATCCCGGGAATGGAAGTGGGGAGGGCATCCTGTCATCACGTGGCATCCTGCAGAAGCACCGAGGTGTCCCCAGGCCACATTCAAGAGAATACAGGATAAACCAAACTTGGCCGTGATTCCTCAGGAGCGGGACTTCTAAATTCTAAACCTGGGACAACTAAGCCATTGGTTTCGTTTTGAACCAACACACTGTCCCTAACTAGCTCAACCTAGGCCTGCGTCGCAGCTCCAAAAGGCTGCAGGAGGAGCTGCGGCAGCTGCTCACCTCTCCTCCGTGGAGAAGACGAATTTCCTAAGTTTCAGGTCTCCCAGCACAATGGCCGACTGGTGGCAGTGGGCAACGGCAGAGACAATCTGCTTGAAGAGTCGGGCGGCCTCATCTTCCCGCAGCCTCTTCCGGCTTCGCACGTAGGAGTGCATGTCCCCAAAGTCCTTCTCAAAGAAGACGTAGGCCTTGGTGTCCCCAAGGATCACTTCCACGATGCCGGTGATGTTCCTGTGTGATGGCAGCTGGATGTAAGGCCTGATTTTGTCCTGGTAGTGTTTAATGGGAAACACCTGCAGAAAGAGTGGTCTGTTTAGGAGGCACAAAAAGCAGAGGCTGTCTCCCAAATCCAGAGCTGGGCTGAGGTTCCACAAGCTGTCTAAAAACCTTTGGGCTTTGGTTGACTACAGGAAGATGCCATTCATGTACCCCTTCTCTCTGCCACCCCACCCTATGCAGCCCCAGCTGCCCCTACCACCACCCCCAGTTGCTGTCAAGTCAACCCCAACTCAGGCAACCCTGACTCATGACAACCCCAAGCGTGTCAGAGTAGAACTGTGTTCCATAGGGTTTTCAATGGCTTGAGTTTTGGACGTAGATTGCCAGGCCTTTCTTCTGCAGCACCTGAGTGGACTTGACCCTCCAACCTTTTGATTAGTAGCCAAGCATATTAACTGTTTGGACCACACAGGGACTCCCAGCTGCCCCTAACATCATGCAAACCAGTAGCACCTAGGACTCTGGGCTAGCAAACATCCAAAGGGTCATCCCCTTCACAGGGATGGTTTGAATGAACTGTCTTATGTGCATATTCCCGTCTTCCATCAGACCACCAGCTCCTAAGAGCAAGCCCCAAAGCCCCCACCTGCTGGGTCCCTTCCTTGTCTGCAGGCAAGGCTGCAAAACTGCTGATAGAAGGCACCCCCTGGGGTCCCCAGGAGGAGAAATCAGTCCCTGGAACTGCATGTCCTCCTGCAGACCCAAAGTGCTGGCAAAAAGGGCACAACGTGGGGGCACTGCAGCCTCCACGGGGAAGCAGGGGCCCGAGTCCATGCAGATCTGTCACCAGTCAGGAGGAAGAGATGAGCTGGAGAAGAGCAAGCCTGTGACACGGAGCTCAGCAGCCTGACTCTGGTAGAAGCCTCCCTGAGTTAAGTTCTCACAGCAGGGGTACGGGATCCTGTGAAAGGTTTTTTTTTTCCCCCTTTATTTATTCCCCACCCAGCCCCCACGCCCCAGGAAATGGGTAGTAGCTCCTCTAAGAAGCTGGCTGGGCTCTTTAAGGCCCTTTTGTTTAGTCCGGTTACTCATATCCTAGACTCAACTGGAAACGGTGACACACGGGCTGTCACCATCTGGATTCAGCTATTATCTGCTCAGAGGAACTGGAAGGAGTTGCACAATGGCTCGACCCACCCCACCTCGGAGGCCTGGCTGCTCTGGCACCAGCCAGAAAAATCCCTCCGACGCCCCCTCCTCTCGCCCCACCCCAGACCCAAACACACACATACTCTTCCCAAAACAGCTCTGAACCTCAGCTACAGAGAAGATAAGATTTTTTTCCCTTTAAACTGGACTTGATAATGCATTTGAAATTTCATTCCCCTCGGACAGTAGGTGGCAGCAACAAGCCCAGGAACTGGGGGAGTCAGGTGAGTTGCAGAAAACCCGGAGCGACTTTAACTGGGGGATGACCCCCTCTTTCGCATGAAAGGATCACCCGCAGAGCTGGGTGGGGGGGAGTGCCAGGCTCGCAAAGGGTGGCCAGCGGGAATGCCCTGCGTCCACGGGCAATGGTGGAGGAAGCGGGGACCCTCTCTCTAGGAGTTATATCTCCTGCTCTGGGATAGGGATCCCAAATATTCAAAAGTAAATCGCTGGCCAAGATTCAAAGAAGTGAATGGAAGCGAGGGTTCCTAGCCAGTGTGAGCTTTCCAACAGTCCTACTCTGGGCAGGTCCCCCCCGCCCCGGCTGGAAGACCCCGGGAGGGCGGGGAGGGTCTTGGCGGCGTTCTCGTCCCAGCGTGGGTCAAGCCAGAATCCCCGCAGACAGAAGCTTAACGCAGTCCTTCCACCCTTTACCACCCGCAGCTGAGCCCGGGCGCCTGAAATCCCGGCCAGGGAGCAAGCTGCCAGCTGCTCCAAGCTCCAAGGAGGCACCCACGGCAGGCCTCTTTCCGGGGGGAGGGCGGGGGGCAGGAGAATGAGGGAAGGGGAATGGCATGGCCCTGGAATCCATTTCAATTCCACAACTTATATGGAACGCCACGCGCTCAGCTAGGCGCCAAGGAAAAAAATATAGATAAAACATTTGAGGACTGCACTTCCTCTTCGCCGTCCAGCCCCCTTTATACCACGACCCGTCATTCCCCCAAAGAGTGACCCGATCACATGCCGCCTCACCGGACTTGACCCGCTTATTCGCCCTGCTCCAAGTGTTGGTGGTACCTGAGGCACCCCAAGCCCCTCTGCCCGCCTCCGCGTCCCCCAGCCCCACGCCGGGTCCTAGTCCGCAGGCGCCTACCTTGCAGCGCAGCTCACGGCCCGTGTGGATGCACAGCGCCCGGGACACATGCTCTCGCTCCGCCAGAGGCAGCAGCAGGTAGTCGGCGATGCGGCTGGGCCCCGGCGCGCTCCCGGAGCTGCCGCCGGCCCCCGGCGCGGCAGGCGGGGGCTGCGGGCTGCAGGGCGAGCCGGGGAGGCTGAGGTAGTCCGGGGGGCTGGAGCACTCGGAGAGGCGCGGGCACTTGGCCGCCACAGCTGCCGCGTCGTCCGCATCCAGCAGTCGCTTGGCCGGGGCGCCCCGGGCGGCCGGGAGAAGCAGGACCGGGCCGCGGGAATGCGCGGCGCCGCTCATGGCCGAGCGCACCGGGCCGACCCGCATCCCGTCCTGGGCCGAGGTGGCGCCGGCTTTGTGCGTCCCGGGACCCGCGCGGGAAGGCGCTGCGGGCTCGGCGCCGCGACTTCTTCCAGCGCGCAGGACGGAGTTTGCAGCCCGGGCTTGGCTCGGCCCTCACGGGGGTCAGAGCAGGAGTCGCGCCCGGGAGCTCGCGGTGCACGCGGAGACCACGCTGGCCGCGCGTCGGGGGGATGGAGGTTGGTTCCGTTCCCCGGAGTCCCACGGGCACCGGCTCGGGGCTCCTGGCCGGGGCCGGCCGCCGCTATTATTGCCGCGGCAGCGGACAGTCCGGGACGAAGAGGCGGCGGCTGGCGCTCCTGGGGTCCCGAGCCGCGAGGACAGGATTCCGCGGGATCCGACAAGCCTTAGATCCAGTACACTTCCAAAGCAAGAAGTCTGGGAGCGAAAGCCGGAGCAACTTTTCCGCCGCGCTCCGGATCCTGCGCGCTCCTGGGCTTCGGGCGTGTGAGCGAGCGCGACGCGCTCGGAGAGAGTGACTGAGTGTGAGTGAGTGTGTCGCCGCACCGACCCCGGCCAGTGCACGCCTCCTTCTCCTTTTCCTCCACCTCCTCCGCCTCCCAGTGACTCACGCTGTATACACACACACTCACAGGCCGGGCTGTGTAAACAGTTGGGAAGCCGGGTTGTGCAATGAGGTGGCTGCGACGACTCCGACCCTGCCGCCCGGCGAGCAGTCACCGGAGCTGAGGGGGGAGCACAGGGGGTGGAGCTGGGCCGGCGCCGGGGATGTGGGAGCCCGAGACCGAGGATGCTCGAGGCAGCGTGCTCCGGCGCAGGTGGTGCGTCCAGGCCGGCTTCGGCGCGCGCACACGCCCCCAGGACCGGGCTGGGCTGCAGGCGCCGCGCGCTCTCGGCAAGCGGCCGGCTCCGCGCTGGAAGCCGGAGGAGGGGGCCGAGGAAACGTCCCCGTGACGTCAGGGTCCCGGGGAAGTGGGCGGGCGGGGCGGGTCGCGGGAGGCGAAGAGGCCGCCGATTGGTGCGCGCGCCCCATTCACACCAAGCACAATGGGCTGCGGCGCTAGGCGGGTGCGCGAGTCCCCGGGCCCGGCGGCAGGGCGCGCGCACCACGGTTCTCTGCACCCGCCGCTCCTGCAGCCCGGTGGTTACGCCTTTAGCCCAGGGGATACCCCCACCGCCCGGCACCTCTGGAGCTCGGGTTAGAGCCGTAGGCGCCGCCGACGCCCGGCTGCAGCCAGAGGAAGGGGCCGGCTGGGGAAGGTGATAAATTCCATAATCAGTCATTTCACCCCCACGCGGTAGTTCCGGGGAAGACCTGTGCGTGGTAGTGGATGTGGCTTTTTTTTTTTTTTTCCTTTTCCTGCCCCCTCCCATCTCTAATCCCCAGCGTCTGTTCGCTTCCACAAATAGAACCTTCTGTTGGGTGAAATAAAAGCAAACACTGGGCCTTCTGCGCTGCCTCCACCTCCACGCCCCTCCCGCGCCTGCCGCCCGCCGGGATTGCACGGAAATAGCTTCTCCTGGCTCCCGGGCCGCCCCTTCGCGGTGACTCGCCGAAAGAGCTTCCTGAGCCAGGACCGGTGGGAAACAAAGGATGTGGGGAGCGGGCGGAAGGGGCCCACGTGGCCGCTGCCGGATTCCTGCCCCGCCCCCGGCCTCCACACGCGCCGCGGGCTCTGGGGCCGGGGTACCAGCCCCGGACCCTGGGTGGGTGAGTACGGAGTAGGAATCAACCTGGCCACCGCAGCGATGTTGCCTGCGCGGGGGCAACCCTACTAGGCCGTGTGGGTGTGGGTGCATCCGTGCAAAGTGATTTCATTGTGCACCAAATATGTGTCAGAGGCTGCACAAAACTCCAAGAAAACAGCTTGGAATCTGTCGTTTTTCTTCTTAGGAGAACCGGGTCAGTTTGCAGTCCCTGGACGCTCAACATAAATAACTCTTACCAGAGAGTCCTTGCACTTGTGCTAACTACTTAGTTTTCTAAAACCAGGTCAAGCTCCAGGGATAAATCCCTTTCCATATTAATTCTCCCTTCATTCAGTAATCACTTATTAAGCATTCACTAAGGCTGAAGATTAGAAGATGAAAATTCAAACAATAATATTTAACTTCCGTTGAGGCCTACTATGTGCCAGGCTCTGCTGCAAACACTTGTACACGTATTACTTCATTCTTACAACAACCTTAGACTCACGGAGACCCTGTGTGACGGAGAAGAACTGCCCCCTAGGGTTTCCTAGGCTGTAATCTTCATGGAAACAGATGGCCAGGTCTTTTCTCCCATGGAGCCACTGCGACCTTTGGGTTAGTAGACACTGAAGCTTAGAAAGGTTAAGTAACTGGCAGTGGCCAAATAGCTAGTAAGTTGTGTTGGTGTTAGCTGCCCTCTAGTTTAAAAGAAGACCTGGTGGTGCAGTGGTTAAGCGCTTGGCTACTAACTGAAAAGTTATAGACACACAACTAGAATCCTATGCCTAGAAAAGGCAGAGGATAACTTGGCAGGGGAAGGAAGGAGGGATCAGGGAAGACTTCACAGAGGAGGTGGCCTTGGCGGGGCCATGGATGATGTATTACTGGTCTTCATTGGTGGCCTGTCCTGTGCTTGTATGCACTTGCTGGGGTGGCCAAACTGGAAGCTTCTCAGGGATGAATCGGGGGTGTCCTGGATTCAGTGAAGAGCACAGCTTCATACCTGCCTTGGGTCAAATGGTGAGACACCTTTACCTTCTTCTAAGTTATCTGCTGCAACTTTCATTCTGTGAGTTCTCCCTGTCCATTGTTCCTTGTTGCCTTAATTCCTCTTCTAGTACCTGGACAAAGACCAGCCCTCTCTGCTGCTTGGATTAGAACTCTCCTCACTCCCACTGGCCTCAGTCTCTGACTACTGGGTAACTGGCCAGTCATCTGCTCTATCCACATCACCTGTAGGCTGGAGGATGGAAGGCAGCACCGGGTGCCTCATACAGGTGAAAAACACTTTGTCAACTGTAAAGCTTCGTACAAATGTGAGATATTAGTTTTATTACCAGTGGAAAGGGCACAGGTCTTTGAGACAAAAGTCCTGGGTTCAAGTCCTGGCCCTGCCATTAGCTCACAGGACCTTATTTTTCTTCATTCCTCCCTTTCTTTTTTTTGTTTGTTCATTCATTAGTTCATTCTTTCTCTTTTCTTCCTTCCTCCCTTCCTTCCGTTCTTTCTTCCTTTCCTTCCTTCTTTCGTTTTTCATTCTTTCTGAATGAAGAGGTTAAACTGGTGGTTTTCAGACTGGGTTCCTTTGAACCCCAGGGCTTCATGGTGGCACCTCTGAGAGTGAGCAGGGGCCCAAGGCTGGATTTTTGCCTGTTTCCCCAGCACCACGCCAGTTTTCATCAGAGGTCTCCATATCTCTCTGTTCTACATCATGCTTCCAACAAAAGGCTTTCACTGACTTAGAGAAAAAAAACTGAAAATCACTGGTCTTGACAACCTCTGATGTCCCTCCCATCTATTTCTGACACTGACTCTTTTATTTATTTTATTTGTTATTTAAAGGAGTCTCACACCAGGAGCCCACGGGCTAAATCCAGTCTGCAGCTGTGTTTGGTTTGGCCAGAAAAGTGTTTTAGCGATTCCTGGAGGCATGCACTGTCCAATTCACCACAGTCCCCACCGCTCCCTATTGTCCGACATTTCTGTTAGCAGCCTTCTTACGTATATGTCAGCAGTCTGACCCCAGAGACCTTGACATTGCTTTCCAGGAGGTGCTCCCCTGAGATCCTCTCTTCTCATGATGTCAGAAAAAAGAGAGGTCCAGAGTCTGGAAATAGATGTCCCCCAACCCAGAGGAAGAACAGGTGGGGAGCAGGGTGGCTTAGGTACAAAGGCTGCTCCTTCTTTCTTCCTGTCTGCCCAGCACAGAAGACCATTGTGGCAGTTTTTAAAATATAGCTGCAAATTCTTTAACACTTTTTCCATCAAGCGGCTGAGTCTTTTGCATCTGGGCAGGCTTATGACTGCATTCACCAGTTGGGTACAATCAAAATGATGCTGTGAGACTTCCGAGACTGGGCCCTAAAAGACCAGACGGCTTCTGCCTTGCTCGTGGGAATTTTCACAACTGGAGCCCTGAGCAGCCAGGTAAGATTTCCGACTGCCGTGTTTATTCTGAGTGCCTTCCAACCTAGGAGGCTCATCTTCCAGCACTATATCGAACAATATTCTGTTGTGATCCATAGGGTTTTCATTGACTAATTTTTGAAAGTAGATCACTGGGCCTTTCTTCCTAGTCTGTCTTAGTCTGGAGGTGCCACTGAAACCTGTCCACCACGGGTGACTTTGCTGGGGTTTGAAATACTAGCGGCATAGCTTCCAGCATTGTAGCAACACACAAGCCATCACAGTACGACAAACAGATGAATGGTGGAATTCACCTTGAGTGCTGTCTTCATACAAGAGAAGGGACACAGAGAGACAGATGGAGGGAAGGCCATGTGAAGATGCATCTACAAGCCGAGGAACCCCGGGGGCTACTAGAAGCTGGGAGAGACGAGAAAGAATGAAAGGATCTTCCCTAGAGCCTTTGGAGAGACACCCTGAATTCGGACTCCTAGTCTCCAGAGCTGGGAGGCAATAAGCTTCTGTTCTTTATAAGCAACGCAGTTTGGTGCTTTGTGACAACACCCCTAAGAAACTAATACAGATCCTAATTAGCAAAGGGGGCCCTGGTGGCACAGTAGTTAAGAGCTACAGCTGCTAACCAAAAGGTCGACAGTTTGAATCCCCCAGCCACTCCTTGGAAACCCTCTGGGGCAGTTCTGCTTTGTCCTATAGGGTCACTATGAGTCACAATTGACTCGACAGCAATGGGTAATTAGCAAAGTGTGCCCCTTCCTTGGATGGATGTGACCCACACCAGGGCTGAGGGCCTGGCCAACAGGGGGCAGGCCGGCTTTCCCCTGCACAACCATGTGCTCAGGGCCCAGCTAACTAGAGATACAGTCCTCTGCCCAGACCAGTGTGACCTGAGCTGACAGGAAGGAAGGTGATTTCTAAGCACACATGTTATTGCCCCGTAATCCCTTTCAGCATCTCCCAGGATTGGGGAGGCCCTACGCCCAGAGCTTACTAGCTCAGCGCGGCAGTGAGTCATCGCGACCCAGTAAGCATTCATCAAAAACATACATGAATGCACATATATCCTACGGGCTGCTTTTTCCTTTTTCTTATTAAAAAACAGTCTTCATCCCACCGTGATCTGATCTGAGGTCTGCAGGCTATTTTTTCGTCATTCGTCTTGCCTCTTCAAACTTGGCATTCCCCTCACTCAGCCTCCTGATGCCTGTGGCAGCCTGCCAAACCCATCTCTCTTCGTTCGCGAAGGAAGCCAGGCCCTGGGTGTGGGACTGTTTGGTTTCTGGGGCTTTCATTAAAAGAAGACCAGGCCTGTGGCCCTTCTGAAATCTTCCCGAGGAGGCTGGAGACCATGAACCAAAGGGTGAAGTAGGCCGGGGGCGAATTACATGTGGTCACCAGTCGTTCGTGTGCCGTCTCCCT